ACTAATGATTGTACAACTTACTATTACTCTTACGTTACACAGGCTACATGTAGCCATCGGCTACACCTATATTTATTCTTTATTGAAATATCTTGAAGTTTTAAAAAATTTTACAATTTCTATCAAAATAAAATTATGTTAATTTTTTGAAAGTTGAGCAAAACTATTATACAATTACTTGATCAAATTTAATAATTTTTTAATTTGAATTTTATAAGTCTGTGTAAAAGAAGAAAAAACGAAAATACTCAAAAATCTAAAATTTAAATTGGCTTTAGTGCACTAATTAAAAATGTCGGCAACGAAATTTACATATAATGGGCAATAGCATATGGCTATAGCCTCTAATGTTAATGTTCTAACCCTAAATTTGCGTTTTTACGCACTTTGTTTTATGGGTTGTATTACCGGCACAAAAAAGTAAGTTCTTCAAAAAACAAAGAATGTTTTACATTGCACAATTATGTACCATTCGTGTTTCAGTTATTCAAATATGGTCGTGCCGAAATTTACCCGAATTTCTTTTTGATTTTCGAGACAGTTTAACTCTTTATATGTATAGCTGTTGCTTATTGCAATTTTAACAAATTTGATATATAGCCCTGACGAGTCTCTGTAAGATAACGACCTTTGCACTATTCACACACATCATATTTAAATACCATATTTTTTTTACCATATAGACCGTCGTTTAACGACGGGATAAGTATTAGTCTATTTAGATTGTTGACGGGAACCAGATATTACGTATTCATGTAATATTCATGCGCGTAAAGTGTATCCATTGCTGAAATTTATTTGAAACTTTTGATTTCAATCAGCAAATAATCATATAACAGGTGCTTCAGCTGTTTTCATGAGTGCCATCAAGGAGAATCAGTCATCAAGCTTTCGATTATATTTTGTATTCAGTTTCTTCCCTGAATGCCATCTAAAGAAAATCACTTTCAATTATATCTCTGAGTGCCATCTAGAGAAATTCGCTCTCAATTATATTTTGTGACAAATCATTACAAATATAATCAAAAGTCAGATGATAGACGGCACTCGGAAAACAAACTGGGCACGAAAGTCTGATAATAGGTTTTCTCTTGAATTTGACGTTGGCTGATGTCAAAAACTTATCAATTCGGTCATTTTTCAAGTGTCTCAAAATTTATAGAAATAGTTGCAATGCAGATTCATATATAGTCACGATGGTCTTTATATAAGATAATAGTCTCTACGATATTCGCATAACATGTTTGCAGCGTTTATTCCATACCATATATCCCGTCGTATGATGACGGGCTCTAGCACAAATAAAATGGACAAAAGGTACTATATACGTAGTTACTATAATCTTTTTACTGCTACATATTTATTCATACACGTACGTATGTTATATTAATATGCATTGAAAATCAAGGCTTGAAAATTTCTTGGCTAGTGATTAGTAAACTGTATTAACAAATATGCAATTGGTATTGAGATAGTTTTGAAACGTAAACTATGTAAACTATGCAATTTATGTAATTTTGGAATTGTTAAGAGAAAGAAAATTAAGGTTAAAAAATATAAATAAATAAATAAATATATATATATATATATATTGTGTAATCAGTCAAATTTCTTAGTAGATCGTAAAAGAAAAAAAATTAGAATGAAATATTATGTATATATGTTAGGTTCCTGGTTTAAGCGTGACTACATCGGATCGTAGTATTGATCTGAATAATTTACTCATTGGTATTTCTGTATTTAGATATCAAAGATTTCTTATCTAAATTACGCGGATCAATATGGTATAAAATCACCTCTTGTAAAATTCGTGCCATACTGCTATTTAATATTAGGTTTAGAAATTATTGTAGATTATTAAGTTCTTAAAATAGATATTTCACATCCCTAATACTATCCCATACTGATCTACCGTAATCTACTGTAATCTATTTTTGTATTTGGATAATCCTGAATAATTATCCAAGCAAATAATATATTCTAATAATTAAATTATGTCGATCGATCATACGAGAAAAATGACAAGTTTGGCATTTGTTATCTAGATAATAGTTATTTTATATTGTCAATAATTAAATTATTCTGATTAGGAATAGTTCACGTGTATCATATAATAGTCATATAATAGTAATTACAGTAAACCTCAATAGATGTTAAATTCTTTTAGACGCTATAAAAAGGGTTGCATGTTTTTGATACGTACGTACGTGAATTATACAGTGAATAGAAATATTCAGGAAATTCCGAAATTATTCCTTAATACACCACTTACATCACTTTGTAATCAGATTTTAATATACAGCAGACCATTAAGATGGTTCAAATTTATTCAGCATTTAATATATGCCTTATATTCTTTGTGGCATTATTAGCAATCGTTTTTCCTCTTTCAAAATCTCAAACTAATAATAAAATTCAATGTGATGAAGTATCTAGAGCACTCAAAAAAAATAAACCAATTGGATACAATGCTGCCAAAAAATGTCTTAAGAGCTTTCCTTTTAATGCTAAACACGCTACCGAAGTAATCATTAATATTTTTGCTTAATTTTACTGTACTTAAAAATTACATATAGTATGCTGATTTTATTTTTATTTTTTTTTAAACAAAAGACGGTTGATCTTACGTTACATCACTTGAAAAATTATTATATTTTCTTTGATCGAGCCAAAGAACCAACATCAAGTGGACTTACTTATCAACCAGTAGACCTAGAAAAAGAATTAAAGTCATTACGTACAAAACCTTTTGAATCGGATTATGACTTTACGGTATGTATATTATAAACAAATTACTTACATTATAAATAAATTAGATTTTAAAATTTATTAAAAAATGTTAACATAAAATTTATTAAATTAACTAGACAGTTTTAAGAAATCTTCTTTTTGAATTAAAAGATGGTCATACAAGAATCACAAATCTTTGTTATCAAAATTTTGTTTATGATCAGAACTTAAATTTATATTCAGTGATTACGAAAGATAACAAACAGGTAAAGTAAATATAAATGTAATTTATGTATACAAATAATATATTAAGTATTATGTTATTAATTTATGTTATCAACTATTTAATCAATTATCGAATATGACAGATAATTAAGGTGATTATATAATTAATTTATATGGCTTATTTAAAAATAATATTATACAAGTAACTCTTTATATAAAAGACATTTGATATAAGAATGCAATATAAATGCGACATCTTTATATCAAGAATTACGATGTATATATTATTGTATGTATGGCAATAAGATTATTAATGAATATCTTTATTTTATCAAAAGGTTTTCAATGACACATTAGATCCATCAAATAATGACTGTGAAGTTATTGAAATTGATGGAAAACCTGCCTTACAAGTGATAATTGATTTTGCAGATAATAACATTGCATATTCAAAAGATCGGGGTGTTCGATTCAACATGGCTTTAGCTCCTTGTGCAAATTTATTTTCACAACAATTTACTTTACGAGTAGATTTACCTGAAACTTCTAGTATCACATATAAATTAACGTGTCCAAAAAAAAACAAAAAAACCCCTTTTAAATTAGAAAGGTTATGGAACATTACATATAACGATGGAATTAATCTTTTCCAAAACTTTTGTTTAGATCAAAATAACATTACTACTTTTTCGTCTGATGATCATTTTGCTCCAAATAGTAAAGCTACAAATAGTAAATTTACAAATAGTAAAGTTACAAATAGTAAAAGGTCAACATCAAGTAATCAAGTTAAAGCATCGACATCGAACAATAAACTTGCACATGCGAAATTAGTAGCTGATAATTTTTACTTATTAGATGATGGAAACAAAGTTGGTGTTATAGTAATTACTGAAGAAAAAAAATACGTTGAGGGTATGGTAATAGACGGTTTAAATGAATTTAAAAAACGAGGTGTTAAAAAGGTAAAAACCAAAAATAATTATATTAAACATGTATTACCTGCTGTATTTGTTTTTGTATTTACTTTATATTTTTGACAGATTATTTTAGATATGTCAAATAATGAAGGTGGTCTACTTACTGTATCTCTATTTTTGCCTTCTTTACTACTTTCACCCGAACAACCAAATTCGTTTCCAACGGACATAATTATTAATAATTTTACTATTCCTAAGATAAAAGACAATTTTAAACACAAAAGTTTTGATGACCAAGATTCGTATAATCCAAATTTTTTTTTGAACTTTCCTGACGGTGATAAATTTACTTCTGCTGAAGAGTTTATAGGATCTCTAAAAAATCAGAGATCTAACTTATACCTTAATGCTTTAACACCTAATGAAAAGAAATTACTCAATAATACCTCTTTTCCATGGACTAGTAATGATATGATCATTATAACTAATGGTTTTTGTGGATCTGCATGTGCGTTAACCACCATATTTTTTTCCGAAGTTCATAATGTTAAAACAATTGCCGTTGGTGGCCTTCTTAATACTCCGATGTCATATTCCACTTATCCTGGTGGTGAGGTTACATCACCTGAAGTTATCGCATCAGATGCTGGAGATAATACTCCTGATCTTCCCGGAGTAAACGCATTTATTCTTGCTATAAGAGAATCTTATGGTTTTGTCAAAAATGGTACCAATAATAATATAGTCGTAAAAGATATATTAGAATATACATTTAAACCTGCTGATCATAGAATTTACTATGATGAAAATAATGCTAAAGATTCTAGCTTCTTATGGCTTAAAGCTTCTGAAATTTTAAACAACAAAGCTTAGTTTTTTTTTTCTTTTAGCGATAAGTCAATTTTTTTTAATGATGGGTCAATTAATAATTTATAATTTATAATTAAATTAAATAATTATATTTACTTTTTTAGACTATCTGAACTGAGAATACTAAAATATATCTTCAAAAGAAAAATATAATACTGTAATTTTTGAATCAAATTTATTAAAATTTAAATAACTTTATAAATTGAACGAATTAAACTATGTTTATTTAATACACCATTATAATTTTATAATAAATTCATATACATACATATATATATATATATATTTAAAGTAATATATATATATATATATATAGAAAGCCCTCATGTAATATAATTACTTGCGATCATGTGTGTCCGTCCGACTTTTAATTAATAGTTATCATATAGAATGTTAGAATGTAGGTGACATTAGGTAAGCGTCATTTAGTGGCCATTTCTTAGCTTGGATACTTCGCGGAATGATCTGAATAAATTAAATGGTCACTAAATGATGCTAACCCCATGTTACCTACTTTCTATCTGATAACGATGTTGTCCCGAAAATGGTCATTAATTAAATTAATTAAATTATCGTTATTTTATAAAGTTTAGTTTATTAATTACAGCATGTTATTTTTTCTCCTTTCTTTTTTTTTTTTTACACAGAAACTTTTTGATATAGATTAAAACAATATTAAGATTCAGAATCAGTTCAAACGTGGAATGAACTTTGATATACCATGATATAGTATTAATATAGGTAAGACGATCAATAGTACCTACCGGATACGTAATAATATTATTATAATAAATTATTGGGTGCCTTTGATGATAGGTTCTTATCCCTATTTTGGTTTGGTTTTGTATTAGCAGCATTAGTGGAATATATAAGTGACCAATCATTTATTATGGCCAACGATATTTGCTGTGCGATCACATGGTCAACTGATCGACCTTTCAAAGTAGAGTATAGTAGAGCTGGAGTAGAGCAGAGCAAGTGTACAGCTCTAGAAATTTTTTATAATGAATGAAAAAGCAATATTGAATAATATTTAGCCTTTTTGACTTCTTTGAAATTGTTTTGCCCTAGGTTTGTAAGTTCATTCTCTAGACAAGTAATTTTTTTTTTAGTCGATCGAATTTTTTAGCGGGCTGATAAAATGATAATCAAATACTGAAATTTGATGATCACCAGACTAAGAATATAATTAATACGTAATATAAATTCCTATATGCAGTATGTAGATCAATATATGACCCCTTTTTAGTGACGCAATTGTTTTTGTTTTTCTGCCTGCATAAAATAAACAGAACAGAATTATAAACCAAAGTATACTTTTAATTTTTTATTTCGTACACAAAATCGGTTGGTTTTTTTTATTTGAAGAAAACCCACGAAGAAAACCCACGTTAAAGAAAACCAAGAAGAATAACCACGTTGAAGAAAAACCAAGTTTAAAAGTTAGTATTATGTTTGTGACTACTTCGGGAACAGAAGGTTGTTTACTTTAGTCTACTGGTTCCGTAAGAGGAATTGGTTATGTACAGTATCTTTAATAGATATGTACCGGGACTTTTGTGACTTTGTTACTGGGTACTGGTATTTCTTATCTAAAGAAACAACCTTGGCTTATTATGAGGATTTCTTTGTTTGTCTGTACTGGCTTCAGAAAGTGTCGAGTCGGCTATTTGTTTACGGCTTGATAAGGGTGTTTAACTAAGTTACGCTATTAGCAGCTTTATTTATGCATGGGTGTCTTTGATATTTGTGTGTAAATTTATGCTGGCTTGAATAAGGGTGTCTCAGTAGGCCTTCGGGTCTTTACTGGCCCTTTGCAAGTGAGTAGATCCAGTAACTGGCCTTTTGGCAAGTGTTAGCGCTGTTACTGGCTTTTTGGAGTGTCTAGTCGGGACTTGGAATTTCGAATAATAAGCAATATAATATCTGACTATTTTAGTATTTTACTAATTTTTATTTTATTTTATTTTTATTTTTTTTAGATGATAATAGATATCGATTTTTGGATTATATTTAATTTATTAATTAAAAATATATAAGTCTTATATTGTACTTAAATAAATTCAATAAAAATATCGATTTTTGAATTATTTTATTTGATTTCGTTTTTAGATGATAATAGATATCGATTTTCGAATTATATTTAATTTATTAATTAAAAAAATATATATCGTACTTAAATAAATTCAATAAAAATATCGATTTTTGAATTATTTTATTTGATTTCGAACTTTTTTGAATATGTATAGAAAAAAAAGTGATATAATAAGTATGATTATGATAGTGAAATGACGAATTGATAAAAAGTGGTGAAACTTGTGTAAGGTAGCGAAACTGGTAAAACTACGTAGTGAAACAACAAATTGAATTAATTGATAAAAAAGAAAAATGAAGGGGTTGCTTTTATTCAAGCACAATTGTAATATACGTAATTTAGTACTGCTTTCAGCTGGTTTTGATTGAAAAAAAAATTTCCTGAAAAAAAGCAAATTAAATCACTCAAATATTTTGTACACTGGGTAAAAACTTATTCCAAATTAACTGGCAAGAATTAATAAATGATATTGTGAACTGTGAAAATGTGATCCGATCATTTACCTAAAATGGGTTTGTTTCCCCCGGGATTAAAGGTCGTTTATCATTATCGTTATGTAATAAGGGAAATCTATAATTAATGGGTTATATAATAACTAAGGGCTTAAGTAAACTGATAATAACAATTCATCTCCTAATAATTCCCTGCTTTCACTACATCATAATACCTACGATCATAAATTCCCCACTCGACAAATCTAACACGCCCATTTCGACTTAGCCGACACGACGTACCCGATTGTGAAGCGACTGATTGACTCGCTGTTAGAGTTGTCATTATTTAATATTTAGTATATACTGTATAATGAAAAATTCTCTAATATTAATCAAAAGCCCCCGTACATAATTTTTTTTTAGCGTTAATCTGCTACACATAATTCTTTTTACACTAATCAAAGCTCTTTTTACACAATTCTTTTTAACGTTAATCAAAGCCCTCTTGAACATAACTTTCTATATAGAAGGTTTATTTTATGGATTATCAGAATTTTTAACGATATTTATGTACCGAAAATTTTAAATCATTACGCATGAACTCTTGAAAGTTAAGGCAGGCTTCAAAAATCTGTCAAGAATGAAAATATTAATAGAATGATTTATCTTTGTATCAAATATTATTATCAATATTAAATTAGTAAAGACATCCTTAAAATAGATTCGGGATTACATATTTTATCATAGATCTAATTGTACAATTTACACTAAATTGCTAACTAGAAGAAATAATCACATGGGTTTTTGCCTTGAAATTCACAATCCGGCATTTCCGATCAGGATAATTCGGGAAAAACAAATACCAATTCATGTTTATATGTAAATCATCTTTATTGCCTCAATAATTTATTCATTGGACTATTGAATCAATAAATATAATGGATAATTTATGAGTTTGTTTTGAGGGTCTCTTAAAGCCAGGTACAGTACATCACGAAATTTTCTGATGATGTCTATGACCAATCGAAATCACCAATTTTTGTTTACACGGATCAGCCCGACGAAGCAAAAAAAAGCAAAAAATGAGAAAAATACAAGAAGCAAGTGTCAAAACCCACCTTGACGCATTAAGTAAAAATGTCGGAAGGACAATTTTACATATGATACTCTTCTAAGTCTAACCTATACATGCCCTTAGTAATAATTTCATGATGTACCCGGCTTTAAGCGTCCCCTTGTTTTGTCCGAATTATCCGGATTGGATAACGATTTTCGTGGCAAATACCTCACATATAGCCAGTGTTGACCTATGACTTATTATGACTTATTGACTAATTATTGGTTATGATTTATGACCTGTTATGACTTATAAATTTACTATTATATTATAATCTCCATGGTCATGTAAAGTTGGATATGACCAACACTGCATATGACTCGGTGTTGAACTCGGTCTGAATACCTCAGAATCATGATTGGAAGGGCGGGATTAACTAAGCTTGCTTGCTCAGCTGATAATTTGGCCCAGAAATAGTTGAGTGTAACTCGGAATTACTTGAATTGTCCGCAAGTTACCTGGTGATCGACGATGTACATATGTAAAGCGATATCAGAAAAAAGGCAAATCAGGGAGGTGTCTTATTTTAATCTGATACCGATTACTGCCTGATTGATTACACTTTGTAATAGTAACAACAAAAATTGTCACAATCAGAGACACCCGATTTGTCTCCGATTTTCCTTCTTTCGATCTGTGTGATATATTAAAGCCCTATTTTTAAAAGTTATACCATTAACGTTAAGGGTTTCAGAATTAAAAAAAAGTGTATTTCAGAAATAAATGGAAGTTTAAAAGTTTTATTTGTGTATCAAAATTTGAAATATAAGATGTGCGTGTTTTCATGAAAGATGGCTGATGAATGACGAAACTTTCGTCATTGACGATTTGACGAAACCTTTCGTCAAGCAATTTCTGAATGACGAATTGACAATTGACGAAACCTATGATGATTGATGATGCATAAAACTATCATTTTTTTTCATAAAGGAAATAAATAAGTATATACGAAGTTAATATTTTTATTCCATTAATCATATCTATCCATTTTCTATTTTTATCTGTTATATATATTTTTTTTATGAAATACATATTGGAAAAAAAATCACATAAAAAAACAAATGGGTGCCACAAAGTGAAAGTCAGGAATTCTAAAAATAGATTTTTTTTTTTAATAATACTAATATATGATCAAAAAACAGTAAAAAATTCCGTTATTTGATGGTGACGCAATCATTATCAAAAGAACCCGTGTTATTCTGTTGGTTCGGTCGTCGTAAGATACCAGATAATACCGTTATTAAATACTACTCAGTCAGATAATGAAATTATTTTCCAAATAATATATAGTCATTGGAATTATTTGCAAAACAATTCATTTTATCTGGTTGCGTACATAGCATCCAATAGCTATATTATTCTAGTCAGATCGGTTAAACCGTTATGCAAAGTCTATTTTTAGAATTCCTGGTTTTCAATTAAATATTATCGTTTCAAATTTCACGTAATGTAAAATTAGAAATTGACTTTCGTATGATCTTTTAAATTTTATTGTATAATCAACTTTATTATATTTTGAACTAAAAAAGAAAAAGGTTTATTGCTTATCATTTAAAAAGGTACTAGTTTTTCATACTTTATTAAAAAAAAAAAACAGATTATTCTTGGTATAGTTCATCAATCATTTAATCGACTACATAGGGTTAGGATTAACATTTTATTAGTTTTTGATATTTTTAATAATGATATACAGTACTTTTATAATGACGAAAATTTTGGAAATTACAATGACAATATTTAAAACCTGCTATGCTATTGGTTTTTGTCCGGATTATCCTGATCAGTAATGTCAAAGGTAACCCATATATCGGCAAATAATTTAATTTTGATTAGATGATCGGATAAAATTTTACACAATATATTCACAGACGATATGTATTATTGAAGGTTAAGACCAAACAAAAATAAAAATAGAGGCTTCGTTTCATGTACTATTAAATAATTCGGTAATCCATGAAGTAATTCGGAAGTTAGATGAGAAGTATGTTTAAACGGTTAAGTTTATCTTACATATATAATAGGTCAATTTATTAAATAAATTTATTATTACTGTATATTAATATAGGCGGCTGTTATACGTACCCCCTAAATTTGTTATCCGTACCTCCCATGTAATAAAATCATAGTATGATTGGATGAGGACTATCACGTGATAAAGCAAGTATATTCTATTCTTTGTGTGACGTCTACGTACGTACGTACGTACGTATCTAACTTTAAAAATCACGTTTCTTGCATTTTCGATTTCAAATATTTAGCACAACAAGTATCTTAACAGGCAACTTTGAACCTGACTCATTTTCTCAAACTTCAAAATTTAAGTTACCGAAAAAACGATTGAATAGTTGCAGTTTTTTAGCATTGAAATTTTCGCATTTATTGTATTTTGTTTTTTACATTGTTATCATTAATTCCTGAAACTTACATTTATAAAATTAAAAAACAGTTGAACGTAAAGCAAGATCAGTTTTCAGACTCATTTATTATGCCAAATATTTCCAGTTTATAAGGATAAGTATTCGTTTTCTTTTATTTTTTTTAAAAAATTTAATTTCTAGTTACAATTTGAACTAAATTCTTACCTTTCATTTGGGCAAGTATGAGAATTGTGCTCAGATTGTCTGCACACAGTACATTGTCATTCTCTACATTCCACCAACTCAAACCCAGAAGGATCTCTCCTGGTTGAGTTTACTGAACTATGTTGAATACCTGAAAGGCGTCCTCTTGTAGAAACCTCTCTTGGGTTTTGTAAAATCATCGGGAGAGTATTTATCATATTGTCTAATGTTACATGTGCTGTTGCTTGTTGAACTCTTGACTATTCTTGATATCTCTCTTGTAGATTCTGTTAAAGAGGCTGCAGAGTGTCTTCTTCACGAACAGCATTTTCTTTAACTTCTAGTACTGGTGAGTGTTCTAAAATCCACCAATGCTCATGGATATTATGGAGCATTAAAGCCTGATCATTCTCTAAGAGACTAATGGTATGGGCACAAGGAAGCCTCATTGTTTTTGAAAAAAATCCAGTGCATGGTGGCAGGGGTTCACGAGATATTGCATGTTTTGTCTTTTGATACTGATCATTTATTTTTTTAAGGGTGAAACTTAAAATTTTTCCTCTGACATTCGTGTATAAAGGATTGTTGAGTGCAAAAAGTGGAATATGGATATGTTCTGATGCAACCATCGTATCAATTTCTTTCTTTTGGTTAGCCACTACCAGAGAAATTGTTGTGCAAACCCGGTAAAAGTCTCCTGTTGATACTTGTAAATAGGTTTTAAGAGTTGAATTGACATCCTCAATGTGAGATGTTACAGTTGTCTCTAGGTGGAGGTATGAATTTGTCTATGAGTTATGAATTTTTCTTTCAAAGGTAACCAAGTATTTTCAAGATAAGTAATAACATGGGACTTATTAGCATAAGTGGAACAAAGTGTATTCCATTTTTCTTTAAACTCTTCCTCTATTATTGATTGAATAGTATCATTCTATTTTGAGAGAAAAGCTTTCCATTCATCACTTTTCTCATTTTCTGTATCTCTTTGGAACTGTGGCTTGCAGTTCTTTAAAATATTTTTACTTATGTGTCATACACATAGGAGGTTTACTGAATCCAGAAAAGTTATATTAAGTGCATCTATAAGAGTGAGCACTCTATCTATTACTATAACACCTGGTTTTGATGCATTGTAAAACAAGTGGACAAAATGATTCAATGCCTATTGATAATCTGTTTTTTTCTCATCTTTCATGAAGGCAAAGAAAGAATAAAAAGTGGTATTAAAACTAATAATACCTATGATACTCAGCAAAGGCATTTTGAACTTATTTGTCTTATAGGTGCAATTCATAAGAATAACAGAAGAATACTGACGAGTAAGGATTACAGATTCATTGTGTATAAAGAAAAGGTAAGTGATAGAACTAGTAATGTCACATTCATACTCATATATAAAATTGCCTTCTTTAAGCTTGTTTACAAGTGTCTGAATGGAAGTACAACTAGCAAGATTCTGTTGATAAAGTGTTCACGAATATTATAAATTTCTCTATTTATAATTAATGGCGATGTATTATTGTGGTAAAGAGTTGACATGATTTCTCTGGGGTGGGAACCAGTCGTTGTCATTCTTGCAACAGTTTTCAACTGTTGCTCTGAAAGTTGACGAGCAATCAGATGTCCTGACAGATTATTATCGAAATTATGATTGTAACTGTCATTGTGAACTTCCAGATGCCATTGACTATTACGTCAAGTAGCATACAATTTATAGGGGCAGTCAATGAGTCTAGTGCTTCTTTGCCTATATCATGTTTCTTCATTGGGGCTTGAAGAATTATTATAAGTGTCACCTCTGTCACAACATATAGTCATGTTTTTCAATTCACCTTAATGATTCTTTTGAGTTCTTTTCTTTACTAGTGCATAACCTTGAGAATTTGCATATCTTTGAATGTATTGAAAAAGTTTATCAGTATTATTGTATATTGTAGAAAACAGTGGATTTATGCTGTCATGGGTTACTATTAGTCAAAGATAATTCTATAAAGCTTGCATGATGATGGAGTATTTGGTCTTTATTTGAAATATTCTTGTAGACAGTTTTTTATTACACAATTTCAATTTTATTCTATATTTTAGGATGAAATTACTTTTTTTTTTTAGATTACTATTTATAATTTACATATGAAAGGAGACTAATCTAATTAAATCTTTCTGTTTGACTAGGTGATGTGACTTTGAATGCAAAATTTTGAGGTTTTTTACAAGAAACTGGTAAGGCATTTATTACATAATTCTTTATTTAAATTAAACTAACTTTATTTCTATAACTACAATCTGATTTACAAAAGTAGATATTTTTTCTTTAATATTTTTAACTTTTCTGATAAGTTTTTTATATCTTTTTTTTTTTTGATACCTAATTTTTACTCAATATTTTCATTTCTCTGGCAGCTATTATTGTGATTTGCCACATTTTGAAACTGTCAAAAAATCATTGTGGTCTTCACTGTTTTTAGTTATATGTGCTCTCTTTATGGTGGTTATTATAGAGCGCATTTATGTATGTTTTAGGTAGTGGCACCAACTACTATTACAATTTGAGTCATGAATTTTTTTTAATAAATTTTCATAACAATTTTTATTAGTTGTTTAAAAAATAGTAAGTTTAATTCGATAGGTCAATGTAGCTTATATATGAACTTTTTACTGTAACTATATAGTACATATTTAAATATATTTTAGGGATAGGTGTTAGTTACTATTATGTTTTAGGCTATAATTTGTTTATGCATGTTTCAGAGATAGGCATTGAATACTAGCATTTTTTAGGCCACAATTTATTTGAGTTGCAATTTATTTGAGTCACAATTTTTTTTCGTTTTCAAGTTTCATTTTAAAAAATAGGAAGCCCAGTTCAATAAAGCCAATGTAGTTTAAACAGAAGTTCTGTACATACTATAACTATTCTACTATAAAACTTATTCTTCAAAATGTTAATTTCAGATCTAAATACACTTAAGACTTTCTAATTAAAGTATTTTTGATTTGATCTGTTCTTGAATTATTGATATAAATGCTATTAGAGCTATGGATTATGCAATGAACCTTAAATTTATATAAGATAACACAGGAGATTTTCTGATTGGTTAATTTAAACATATGTAAATAGTCTGGATAACTAATTCATGCACTTTAATTAAGTATGCAATATTTTACTAATAGAAAAAAAAAGATGAATTTTACTTAAGACAACTACTTTATTATAGTTCTGATCAACTCACTGACAATCACTCCATAGACACCACATTTCACTAACAGTTTATTTTAATAAAGCTCATTCACAAAGTAATTCTGGTCATTGTTGTTAGGGTCATGCTAGAATTAAAGTTAGTGTAATTTATAAAAAAAAGTTTGTCAATAAAATGAGCTTTGGTGAAATAAACTGTCGATAAAATGAACTTATCAATGAATAATTATTGGTAAACCAAGTTATCAGTAAAATGATTGTTGGTGAAATAAGGTTACAGCCCAACTTTCTAAAGTCTATTTTTCTGAAATGCTATTTTACCAAAGCTGGTAACATTGATAATCCATTTTACTAACAGAATATAATTGGATTCATGTCATTTCACTGACATCTTGTTTAATGACAAGTTTATTTCGTCAACAATTATTTTACTAACAAGTTTTTTAAAAATTACACTAATCTTAACTCTAATTCTAAACCTGATTCTAATAACAATGACTGAAATTACTTTTTAGTGAAATAAACTATAGGTAAACTAAGCTTTTAATGAAGTGATTTTTGATAAAATAAATAAGACCTGAAATGATATCATCAGAAAAGAGAAATATTGGAATTATGGAGTTAGTTAAATAACATTTTGGGAAGATGGACTTTGGAAAAGTATGCAACAATGGTGAAATAATATGTATTCCTTCATAAAGAGTTTTAAGTACCCAAAACTGGTTGGTTTAAAGACATTAAACCTTTAATAAGTCTGATCTTAAAAAAAACCTTATTGCTATATATCAGTATATCACTTTATGCAATAATAACACTATTAGTATATGAACAGTATATGCGATTTGGATTAAGTCAATATAGTGATAGATGGTGATTTGAATCAGCATTACATATTAAAGTAATCTTTTCTTGTGTTAATTGAATTGATTGTAAATATTAACTAACTATTGCCGTAAATATACATACATATAAGAGATCCCTCTCAACAGTAAACACACTATAAATTAATCCAAGTATAAGCTTCCAGATTCTTATTAATCAAATGTGATTTTTTTAAATAACCAGACTGCCTATTATAATTATAAAGTGTTTATTATGCACTTTAATTTTTCTTTTTATGATATAAACTCTTAGCTATATACTATGCTCAGGGTTTATTAAGGGCTTTAGAATTAAAATATATTCGATGCAGGTTTGTATGTGAATATTTATAGACAGTGAAAGTTTAGATTACATGAATTTGTCATATAATAGCTCGCATTCAATCATTTTGTGACCTTATTGCATGGAAGTACAGATAACAAATTCAGAGAGTATGTATAACAGCTGCCTTAATATATATAGATTGATTCAGAATCTTGAGTTTTTTAAAATTTAGAATAAACCAGTTGTACTATTTCTGCCAGACAGATTGAAGCTAATATGTGCCCATCTAAATTCTAATCATCAAATACCTCTCAAATCAAATGAGATAATTAATCTTTGTCAAATACATCAATATGATATTTCATTATACAATGCAATTTTCAGAAAAGTATTTCAGTTAGCATATAAAAAATTTGACAAATATGTTAATAATCATTCTGTATTTGCAATCTTTAAAACAATTCGTTACTTTGATCTATAATATGTACAAGCCAAACTGACCAATACAATATTGCATTATACAAGGAAATTAAGGAGTTAAAAAATTTGTCAAATGATCTTATTAATGAATAGGCAATTTATTCAGGATTATTGAAAACATTTAGTGAAGCTTTTGATTTAGACACATATTGGCATGAAAAGATGAATTTATTACTAAATCTTAGCAAAATTGCATTAGGTATATTTGATTGTTAGTTTAAGGAATAGATGTAGAATATAGCTTTTTAGCATATAAATAAATTTTAACAGATAATAGACATGTATTGTCAGAAAATTCACTTAGAATAATAAATTTTTTGATTTTAATAAGTAAATAAATATTTTATAGAAGATTTAAAAATTGCATAATTGATTGCATAATTTTAAAATTATTTTGCATTTATCATATAATTGATCTCAGTTTGCCTGCATAATTTACATCATTGCATTGCATAATCCTAGACACTCTAGTCTAATGTAACATAATCATGAAATTTTAAAACAAATATTTGCTTTGTCAAAAATTACCCTTTTTCTAAAACCAGTATATAACTATTTTTAGTACTATAACAAAAAGGTTTCTTTAAGTGATTTTACTATATAACTATCTAACCTCTAACTTTTACTAAACGCTAATTCTTACATTAATAAATATTAAGAATTTTTATTATATTGCAGTAATTAACAAAATCTGACAAATTTTGAGTGCTGTTTGCTTTTTCAAAAATTACTTATAACTTATGCAACTGTTTAACAAAAAATTTCTTGCAATATTTTATTATAAACTTTTCTTTTGTTACTATTCTAACCTTACTTACTGTTAATTTTAATCAAAAAAATTGATGCTTTGATTTCATATTATACCTGATCCTATAGGGTATATCACAATGTACTTGTAAAAAAAAATTAAATCCTTTTTTATAAATATATTTTTTTAATATAATTTAATTTAAAATGTAATATAATCTAATAAAGATTTCAGAATTAAAATGTATGAATCTTATTTTTATTAAATTAGATAGAATAATTATTTCCAAATAAGTGGTTTACAACTTTATTTTAAAAATTAGAGTAAACTTATTTATATGATTATTTTTTTTATCAACTATGTTTATAATTATTATTTACATAATGATAACAATAAATTTTTTTGGTACCCTTTATATACATCTACAATTATTGTTATTACATATTCATAGAAATTTTTTCTGCACTCTTTTATATACATACAGTATATTTATTTGAATAAATATATTTTACTTTTAGTTATTTTACTTATTATATCTAAAATATTACATTAAAAACAACAAATTAAAAGTATAACCAATATATTAAATATACTTTTAAAGAAACATTCAACAAATACAAATAAAATCACATTGGAAATTCTTGATAAAGAAATTGATAAAGTACTTGAGTTGCTGAAAGTTATAGAGTTGGATTGGTATACGTACACCTATGTGCCCACTGCCAAATTTGGATTTGTATAGCAATTAATGTATAATTATATATGTTTATATTATATAGCCAATTAAATAACCAATTTTTGATAAGTTTTTTTACACAATACATTAATATAATAATGCAAAACCTCACTTAATTTATTATATTCTTGATAGTAAAACTTAACTACACAAATTTTAATGTTTTGTTATATTGAGATTATATTGTAATGAATCTTTTTTCAAGTTAATTATATTACAAAAATTGTTATTTTTTAATATAATTTCATTATTAAAAATTTATAGAATAAAGTATTATATAAAGTTCAGATTAAATAAAATTGTAAATAAATCCTAAGTTATAAACTGTAAATTCATTGGTATTGATGCTTTAAACTTGTTTGCACTATAAAAAGGTGAACTTAATAAGTAATATAATAAAAACTTAATAAATCGCTATCATGTCTTTAGTTTAAAAAAAATACAAATTTTATAACTATTCAACTAGCCAATAAAGACATATCACAAGAGATAATTAGCAGTTAATGCTACAATTATTATAATTATATTTTGATCTAGGTTAAATTACCCAAGCTATTACTAATACTGTGAATTTTTGTCACAATTATCAAATTTTATAACTTATTAGATAACTTTAATTCTAGTAAAAATAGAATACTTATAAATTAAGCCTAAACATGGTGTGAATCATCAAAAGACATCCAAATTATGACTTCTAAACAGATATTCAAAATTTTATAAAAAAAAAAAAATAAAAAATTACTTTACAGTTCTGCTAAAGCCTATAAAATAATGTTTTTTTTTGTTTACAAATTTATACTTTTTCATCAAGAAGATACAATTTTAAAAAAAACCTTTGAAGACTAATAATCAGGAAGATTGGTCAATTCATCAATATTATACCCCCTAAAATTTTTAAGTGATGCAGATTTGATACAATTAGATAATTTGCAATATAGCATTATTTCCTAATTTCTTAATTTAAATAATGCAGATTTGATGATATAATAGAACAATTTACTAAAACATTTACAGCAAATATAATAATAAACAGCTATTTAAAACATGCAAAATATACATGTTAATTTTGCAATATTTTTAATGATGATACAAATTCTATTTGACAAATTTAGTATTCTGTGCATTGCTTAATAACTATATTAGAAGTGCAAAAAAATGGTTTAAAATCCTAGTTGTTAAAGGAAAATATATATAAAAGATAATACAACAAAACCTATACCTAACAAAAATTACTAAATAACAATGCATTCAGCTAAATATAATAAAAAAAGAAGTAGTCAATATAAGATAATATTAAATTAGAATAGAGTTTATAAACATTAAAAATAAAACTTATCATAATAATGCTTTAAATTAAAATTAAGTATCAGCATTTATATGTAATATAACAAAACTTTAACTGAAAAGATTGTTATAGTTTTGCATGTTTCATCTAGCAGAAAAAAGGATAAAGCATTAAAAAATATAGAATTAGAAATAGAAAATAAAACTTAGAAAAATAAGAAGCTTATTGTAGCAATTTCTTTGTATTAGAGCTTAGATGTTCACATTTTAATGTAATATAACAAATCCTATAAATAAGAAATACCATAATAAATGTTGCGTATTTATCAGATTAAAGAGAAGGAAAAAGTATTAGTATTAGATAATATCAAATTAGGAATAGATTATTAGAAATAAACAAAAAACTTATTATAATTATTAATTAAAGTCTTAAAAAATACTTTAAATTAGAAATTATTAGTATTGTAATTTTATATATAATGAATTTACTTATAAAAAGAAGACATTTTATCTTTATAAGATTTGTATAAAGCATTTTTCATGTAAAAGTATCCTGAGCTCTCTAATCATCCTTTTTTAACAACAGAACTGCCTATAATCTTTTTGTAAATCTATAGTTAAAAATTTTGCAATCATTAAGTCATTATAAATAAAAATATCAAATAATCCAAATAAAAATTTGTCATTTTTATCCAAGTCTGCAACCCTTAAATCACAAGATGTAGACACAAATAACCAAAGCATAATTGCAGATTCAATTTTAACCAATTTAATAAAAAATTTTGTAAAGTGTGCCAATAGGTTGTTCTCTAATATACTTTCATGCAATGATTATTTTAGGTCTGAGCTGCAGAAACAGCTTGAATCTGAGTTGCAAGAACCTAAATATATATCTGATCTTCAAGAATTTAGTTATGAGACACAAGAGGAATTTGGATTGCATAAAGAATCTGAACTAGAATTGATAAATGATCCCAAAACTAAACTTAAAGATGATTCTAAAACTGATCCTGAATTGCAAAAAAGAGATATGAATGAATTCATTAAAATTTATACCCATCTTGGATTAAAAACATATAAGGATTGAATTAAAAATGTTCTTCCAAACCTTGCAGGAGCTAATTATAATTATAGAAACAACTGCATAACTTCTGAATATAAAATAAATAAAGGATATTTTTGCCATTGCTATGGAAAACCAAAATCAACAGCTGGCACAATGAAGCAGACAGTTAAACTCTTAACAAATCACAGTTATTTCTATTCAGTTCAGAAACCATCAAAAAGGATAGGCTGCAAATTTTATATACATATATTGAAACACCATAATGACAAGAAGGATGGTGTTTGTATTATTCATTATACGCTATATAATGAACATAATTTGGGTACTGCTAAAGATATATAGTATTTTAACATATTTTAGGAGGTGAAGGAATAAATTTGTGAAATGGCAAAGGATGGAATGAAACCTTTCCAAATTGTGTCTGTATTTTATTAACATATTAACCAGATTTACAATACAGAAGAATTGGAATTTTTACCTTTAACACAAAGGCATAATTTATATATGTCCTATATTGATATATATAACATTGTTAATAAGGAGATGAAGGGTTTATATTTTTAGAAAATAAAAAAAAAAAATATAATGAGAATACATTTGTCAAAAAATAGATTTGTTTATCAAAAGAAGACAAGTCCTATACCTGCAATAATCCAAATTGGGGTTCATCTTTAGGATTTATATATGCTTCCAAACAGAATTTCAAAAAAAAAATTAGAATTTAAGAGTGTGCAGACTGTCTGTCTTGATAGCACTTATAGAACAACATTATATCTTATTTGGGATGATAATGGTAAACAAGGTGTACCTGTAGCTTATTTGTTATCAGAAAAAAAAGCCAAAAATACATTAGTTTATTGGCTTGAGGCTATTAAAAATCAAAATAAAAAATAGAAGCCTCATACTTTCCTTACTAATTGCAATAATGCACAACAAAGTGCAATTAATATAGTATTCTTTGAAGCTAAAATTTTATTATGTCAATGGCATGTTAAAAATGCCTGGCAAAAAAATAAAAGTAAGATTAAAGCTAATAGTAAGTATTTTAAAGCACAAGAAAAAAATGAAAATAATATTTTTAAGTACTCAAAAAAGCAAGTAGCACAAAAGATGGCACTGAATGAGCTTGGTGCTATAATGCGAATTTGCGATATTTTCTAAGTAGAAAGTGAATTTGGTAAATATTTATTACAATGGTCAAAATTTAATGAAATCCAATAGGTGGAATACATCAAAAAAGAGTAATGATACAATTTTGAAAAATAGGTCAATGCATACTGCCTATACAAATACCAGAAAATGAATACAACAAATTTTATTGAAGCCTGGCATAAGAAACTAAAATATACTTACTTTGGAGCTAAACAAAACCATCAGATTGATACTTTGATATAGACCTTATGAGATGCTTAAAAGATGCAAAATTCAAATATAAGGCTATTAATTTAATAATTGAAAGGATGAAGCCTTGTCAGAGGGAACAGTGACAATATGAGCTTGCTAGTTCAGATTTTGTTGTATTTAATTTCCCTAGTGAGTAATACTATCTTGTAAAATCATCAAAAGATGGTCATTATGAGATTAGTATTAAAGATTATATGTAACAAATTGATAAAATAAAATTAGCACATTTTAAATGCACTTATATAGACTTTAAATTTTGTAGAATAGCATACAAACATATTTTTGCAGTATATCAAAAATATTATTTAATACTAATTCTGCAAACCACTTCTGATCAAACAATAAAAGAATCTGAAACAGAAGCAGTTTATGGTGTTACTTTTGACAACTGGATTGAGGCAATTTATAAAGTTTAGAATTGGCACAGTCAGAAAGACTAAAACTGAATAACTGATACCAACTTAGAAGTGATTATAGAAGCAAGAATGAAAAGAAAATCTAGTCTTCCTTATATAATAATTTTATCATTCCTATTTCTGATATAAAAGGAACTAATTATAATATAAAAAAACAAATGAAATAAATTTTTTGTTAAAGTTTTTATATTCATTTCCAAGTTTTTTTTTTATATTTTTATTTTTTACTATACTACAAATTATTATTTATATTTTTTCTTGTTGTAAATAGTCAAAGCCATAATTTATATATCCATAATTGTATTAAAAATTAAAATAATATAAAATATAAAACTACTAAACCAAATTAAATACTAGATCTTTTGTTTAAATATCTTTATTAAATTCATTTATTCATTAATTCAGAAAGCATCAATATTAAAATTTCTAATAAATAAAGGTTGCAAAATTATGTAGTAACCATCTTTGCACACTCATATTTGTTAAAATTAGACTTTAATAATATTAAGTATATATTTATTTATAAAATCATATTTATTAAATCATATCGATATTTAATTTGAATAAATAGATGATGATTGAACATCAAAATGCCTAATTATGCATTAATCATCATACAAATTCAAATTTGACAGTAGGCACATAGATGTATCCAGATTGGTATCTTAGTTTATATAAAAAAACTATTAAATCAAATTATTTTTTTGAGATTCTTTTGCTTAATTATAATAATTATAATTTTAAGCAAATTACAAGAATTAGTAAAGAAACATTCTAGAATGTGAAAAATCTCATTCATGATAATTCTATTTTTTCAAATAAATCTTGACATCTACAAAGACCAGTTTGGCAACAATTAGTAGTTACTTTAGAATAACTTGATTGTAATGGAAATAGTGCTTTAGTTGAATGATTTGCTAGACAATAAGCATGTTAATAGAATATGAAAAGAAAGATTTGGATGTTTAAATGAAATAAGAACTCAAATTTTATCTAAAAAAGATTTAAAATTTATTTTAGATATTATTAAAGCAATAATTATACTTTATAATTTAGCTTTAAAAAATAATAATATTTGGGAGAAAAATTTAAATGAAATTGATTTAAATTTAACAAATATAGATAATTTTATAGATAATAGTTCAAATAAAGAAGGAAAAAAATTTAAAAATATATTCAAAATCTTGTATTTCAAAAAAATAATTATTTCAATAAAATATAAATATTAAAATATTTAATTTTATTTTATTTTTTTTTTTAATATTAATGATGAGGCCATGTCTTTATCTTTATTGAATATTTAACTAAGATTTTTACATAAAGTTTAAATCTACTTTTAAAATATTATAGCAAGAATAGAA